CCAGGCATCATGCTAAAGCCGGATTATCAGCCGTGATGGTCCCATTTCCCCAGCCCCAGCTGGGGAGGATTAATAGGAATTCATTTGTGGAGAGAAAGGAGATGGAGGACTGAGCATCCCGACTGGCCACYGTGCAGAGCTCCCCAGTTCAGGCCAGTGTCCACTACCTCATGTAGAAATTGGGGGTTCTTGGTTGCTTTGGGGACCCTGCAAGTGTGAACCATGGGCAGTCTGCTGGAGAGATGACTTGCCTTCACCACGGGCTGTGGAAATATGAGAACCATGCGGCCCTCCAGGCTGCTGGTGGGAAGTAGTTCCCCCCACACTTACATGTCCTGCCCTCCCACCAGCATCTACAGCAGTGGGATCTGTGAGTCCACTGGGACCCCTGAAAAGCATCACTCATGGGACCCATGAAATCATTCTTCATGGGATCTGCATGAACATACTGGGTTAGTGAGGCCACCGTGATGAAGTGACAGGCGCAGTGCTGAGCAGCCCAGACCTATGTGGGTGCTGCCCTGGCCCATGCAGGCAGAGCGCAGAGGCAGGGGCTGAGTAGCTTGCCCAGAGAAGCCCATCCAGCCACAGGTAAGTGGCGCAAGGCTACTCCACCCAGCCAGCTGGGGCCAGGTTCCTCTCCACGTCTCCTGGCACAGAGCGTGGCTCATCTCTGGCAACCCCAGACACTGCAAAGAGCTCCCACAGGGCCTAGAGCTCGCATGCTGTTGGCGTTGTGCTGAGGAACGAGAATAGCATGGCGCTTCCCAAGACACAGGCTTTTCAGGCGTGATATATGTCTTCGAGCCATATGCCARGTCTGTCTGAAATGCCCAGCTCAGATTGCAGAGAGCTGCTGAGTGAAGTTACTCCGACCTGGAACGTCCCAGAAGGTCTCACTCCAGGTTGTGCTTTGCTCCATGCTGGGATTTCTGCATTTTTAAATAAAGTCAGTGGAGAAGGAAGATGTTCAGCAGAGGTTCAGCATTTTCCAGGACCAAGATGCCCTATGGCGGTGCCCTGGCAGCTGGGGCAGTCTGGCTGCTAGCTGGATGCCGCCAGGGCGAGCTCAGGACTCTGCTGTCTGCCAGTATATGGCAGGGCATGAGGGCTTTTCAGAGCAAAGCCTCCACACACACACGTCTCTGTCCTTGTGAGGGAGGGCAGGGCTCTGTGCTGGCCAGGATGGGTGGTGCGAGACCACATGTAACCTCCTCTAGCACGCAGACACCTGGGCGGGAGTGGACAGCAAGCCGGACCTGCAGGAAGGGTATGTGCATGCCACCTCATGCATAAAGCTCAGTGTTTTCCACAGTGTGGTGCAGAGAGGCCTGCGTTAACACGCCATGCCCGCTGTCAGCTAAGATACCCTCAAAAGTGTGGGAACATAATACATCCCCAGACCTGGGAACGTGGCAAGATGTTGCTGAGCACCTGTCTGGGTCTCCAGGCACACAGGCTGCCTGCGCTGGAAAGCTGATGGGGTGGGCATCATCCCCACGCTGTCCTGAGCAGGGCTGCATGCAGTGTCACCAGGTGCAGTGACATCAGCACCAGCCACCAGGAGAGCAACAACTGAGCTCGTGGAGTTTATTACAGCTGAATCTACCAGGTCAAGTGTGAGATTTTGTTAGGATTAGATTTATCACGTCCTTGCTGTCCAGACAGTATAGGGAGAGCCCGCTGGCCCCATCTTGGAGATTCATGCCTGAAAATCAGTGTAGCTGACTCAACTCCAGCCCCAGGGGAGAGGTCAGGGGCAATGGTCCTGTGCCCATGCACGTGCCCATGGTCTAGGCAGCAGAGTAGGTGACAGAGAAGCTGGCAACTGGGGCCAGCAGCAGGAGGACGGATGCTAGTTCTCACACGGACTGCTCTGTGCAGAGCGCTAAGGCGCACCTGGGGCCACTGAAGTGGGAAAAACAAGAGCATTTGCATTTGTAGTGTTGTGGCATGGCACCCCCAGGATGAATTTGAGCTATCGTGTCCAAGCCAGTGTGCCACTGCTTGCGCAAGTGGTGGGCAGCAGCCATCGGATCTGTCTCTGGAGCCCGTCACGGTGCTGGGAGTTGGCTCAGATCACTACCTGTGGCTGGATGGCCCCTTCTGAGCCATTGCTTTGGTGTTTCGGATTTGTTTCCCGGCTGCTTGGTCCAGGGTGCCCACACGTATGCATGTGCCTGGGGCCGGCAGGCCCGGCAGCCGCCGTCATGGGCAGAGGAGCAGATTCAAGCTGACAGGCTGCCGCTCGCCCCACGGGGGCTCGCGCAGCCCTGACGCATCRCTCCGGCCCCTGGCCCTGCTGCACGTGGCCCGGCCATGGGTCTGTGGGCCCAAACACGCTCACACGTGCCGGGGCGCACAGCCCCGGCGCCTGGTGCAGGGTCAGCCTTGTAAGGGCTGCCTCTAACACCACCTCCCCAGCTGTGGTGAGTGTCACGCTCCCCACTGCAAGGCGGAGAAGGCCACCCACCTCCCTGCACATGCGCAGGGCCCAGGGCGGCCTGCCAGAGACAGCCCCCTGTGCAATCTATTTGCTGTTCTGGAGAGCCTTATCGCAAGGCAAACAGTTCCCACGATGGGCACGCTCTGCCTGATCGAAGCGTCTCTCCTTCCCCTCCCCGCTCACGTTGTCCCTGTCCGCGACCCCCATTTGCCCGGGCGCCACAGGGAGACACTGCCAGCAGCAYCCTGACCCCAGGTGACGCCACAGCGACAGCCCCGGCGCTCACTGCCAGGCAGGGAGTGAAGCTCCGGTGCCACCGGAGCAACGGGTGCCGAGCGCGGCCCCAGGCTGTGCCAGCTCCTAGTGGCCGGAGAAAACACCTCCGGGCCCGATGCTAACGCCGTTGCATGTGAAATGAGCTCGTCTCACTTGCTATTCTGAGAGGTGTTTGGGGCAGACGCTGGCATTTCCTGAACCGCTCGGCAGAGGTATAATTATAACCTGGGAGAAGAACGGGYCTGCACAGGAGGCTGTCGAAACTCGCCGGGGTCCGCGGGCCGCAGCCGTGGCGGAAGAGGCAGAYGTGGCGGCAGCCGGGGCGCCCCTTGGCCGGGCGGGTGTGCGGGCAGCAGCGCGGCCCCCCGCAGACGTGGCCGGAGCGGGTGGCTGGCGGCAGGGCCTGGCCCAAGGGCTGCCTTGCAGCGTGGGCTGCACCCCGGCCTGTGGCAGGGCCGGAAGCCTCGGCCCCTTGTGGCGGCACRGGGAACACGCTGAGTTACCGGCAGCGTTTGGACGTGTTGGCAAGCTTGTTTGCGCCTGGATTTAGGCCCAGCTTGAGGCCTAGCGGAGGGGATAAATTATGGTCTGGTTGCTGCTCTGTGGCCCTTTCTCCTCTCCTGCACGGGCACTGGAGGCCTCGCACCACAAGCTTGGCGGCCGGTCTCCTGGTGTGACCCGTGCCTCAGTTTCCCCTCTCAGCGGCAGCTCCCAGGCCGTGTTACCCCCCTGCCGTGCCCGGCAATGCCCAAGGGCGACGTGCCAGGGCTCAGCTCTGCAGCAGGAGCCTCGCCGGGCCTTGCCAGTGGAGGCGAGCCGGCTGGAGTCCCGGGATGACCCTGGCACCGCGGGGTGAGGGCGCCGTGCTGAATGTGGCGCGGGACTCGGAACAGGGGCTAAAAGCCCCTTGGGCGCCGGGCGGAGCGTCCTGGCCAAGGGCGGCAGCCCCATGTCGCCCGCTGGGAAGGTGGGTCTCCCGGGTGGCAGCACGGCCCCCGGGTGCTGCACAGAGCCCCTGCTCCGGGCCCCGGCTCCAGCCTGCCCCAGAAAGCGGCGCGGTGCYGCTTCCCCGCGGGAAGGGCGCAGCGGGGAGGGCCGCGGGCGCACACAGAGGCCGCTTTGTGCCGCTTGCCAAACGCTCCGGCGCTCAGCAGCCCCGCCGCCTTCCCTGCCAAGGACTTGTCTCCTGTCCCTGCGCTCTTTCCTGCTCCATTTGTCAGGCCCTGATGTGCCCCCCTCCCAGGCCCCCTCCTCAAAACCTGCCGCTTGGCATCGGGAGGCTGCGTTGAGMAGAGCAGGGCAGCGCTGAACCCTTTGCATAGGCTGGGGGTCTTTGAGCTCGTGGTTAACCCTCGCTTTTCTGTCCAGCCCAAAGTTGCCTTGAGAAGCCCCGGCTCATCCTGTCAGTGTGTGGCCCTGTCCACCGGCAGCTCTTGGTGCTGCCGGTGCCCGTGTCCAGAGGAGAAACTGAGGCAGTGAGAAGGCTCAGGCTGGGCAGGTGGACAAAAGCTGTGGAGAGATGCCCCGCAGCGCTGCTCTGCAACTCCTGGGGCTGTGCGATGCAGGAAGGAATCAAGGCTTCTGTCTCCAAATCCCTGGCCGTACGGGGCTGGCATCCATGCTAGCTTTGATGGGAGAAGGGAAGCCCCAAAGGGCCCCAGAGCAGCTGGTTTGTCTCTGCATGGCATCTGCTACTGGCCATAGGAAGCCTGTATCCATGCTGAAATGCACCCACCTGCACCGGGAGGAAAAAGCAGAGCCCAGCCCTATGGACAGAGCTGCAATGGAGATGTTAGGTAGGCCGGGCATCATAAGCTCAACTGGCACCAGGCCAGGACTSTGCCAGCCCTGCCAGCCAGGGAAAGAGGCTCCAGGAACTCGGCTGGCTCCGTGCCACCTGTGGGCAGGAGAAACAGAGCAGCCTTCCGGGGCCGGGCAGTGGGCAGCTTGTCGTGCAAGACAAGCCTTCCTACTGGGCTCCCAGGGTCGTTCAAAGCTCCTGCATACTCAGGGCAGCATTTAGTGCCCCCTCACATTCTCTCCCACATGTGTAAAAGGGGCAAATCAAGCTCCAGTGTTGCCTAGCTGGGCCTCTCAGACTCAYGAACCAAGTATCGGTGTTAATCCAGACTCCTGGGCCATGAGCTCAAGTTGGATCTCCAGAACCTGCACTCAGACCCCCAGACCCTCAGGCCAGAGTCTGACTCCATTTGCTCTCCTCTTCCAGAGCGTGAAGAGTCCTCGCACTGAGTCCAGCACCATCCCCGCCTGCCCCACCATGGAGGCCACGGAGGTGCCCATCCAGGCCGAGATGGTGGAACTAGTGCCCAACGGGAAGCACGCTGCAGCACTCAACACATCCACTGTCCCTTCGCTGGCAGGTGACAGGTATAGGCTTTGGGACAAGAGGTTTCCGGCTGAAATGTGCAGCTCTCCCTGCTCCCACAGGTGCTGAGGTCCCTGTGCTTGGGGTGTTTGCAGCTCTTCTCTGCTCTGCCCCAGGTTTGACGAGAACCAGTCCAGCGCAGCAGAGCTAGAGGAGTTTCTGCCTCACGGCACTGAGAAGAAGCAGACGCACTTCACAGATGTGAGTAGGACATGGCGGGCACCTCTTGCTTTGCCTGGGCAAGGGGCCATGGCCACATGGGGCCAGGTGCCTCTTGCAGCCAACTAAAACGTGGCCCTACAGGGCTCAGCATCTCACTGGTGGGTAGGTGGCCGGGGGCTGTTTTCTGGTATGACCGGTCCCTGTGTTGTGTCTCGTGTGCACAGTTCGAAGGGAAGACGTCTTTTGGGATGTCCGTGTTCAATCTCAGCAACGCCATTATGGGCAGCGGGATCCTGGGGCTGGCGTATGCCATGGCCAACACAGGCATCATCCTCTTCCTGTAAGTGATACTTGCAGGGCCGCGTGGGGCACTGCTAGTGCCTGCTCAACCCTCACGGCCTCAACACCCAGCTGCTAGGCATCAGTGAGACCCTGCTGTGGGCTACATGCTGCCCAGTTTGCCTAGCAGGGGCAACGGGGACACCGGGCTCAAGCCAATGCTCAGAGGCTCACCGCACTGCCCTGCTCCCCAGGCTTCCCCTCTCCCAGCTTCCTGACCCATCCACGGCAGCCGAACTGCCCCAAACACCCCTCAGGATGCCTACCAGGCAGGCCGACTCCCTTCAGGTGCTAACTGCATATGGACAGCCCAGACAGGGCCTCGTTGCCCTGCGTGGGGTGGTACCTGCCCCTGCTGTGGGTTGAGGCTTGGCACTGGCCTGGGCCACTACTGGCATGTATTGCTGCAGCTCCCTTGGGAAGGCTCTGGTGCCCAGCTGCCCCCCTCCGTGGTTCCCCCTGCTTTGCTCCCTTCCCATGCCCTGGTGGGGCACGTGTAGGTAGAGGAGCAGATAAACCTCTCTGTTGTTCCCAGGCTCCTGAAGCAGGTCATTGTACGAAAGACAGCCCCCACCTTTTGTGTGGGCAGCTCCAGCACTGGCCCCAGGCTTTGCCAGCCACTGCTGGTGACCACAGCACCCTGGGCAGCCCAGGATGCCATCAGATCTATTGCACAAAACTCTGTGCTTTGTGCACCCCAGTGTTTTGGGGTAGGAGTGTGTTCTCATGGGCACATCCCACAAGGAGATTTGCTTCAGCAGCACCAGACCCAAGGACAGGTAAAAGTGCCCATGGGAGAGCCAGGGGCAGAGGTGCGGGCCAGGTTGCAAGGTGTAGGGCACCATGTGTGCAGGACTCCTCCAGGGGTGCTCGACTCCTCTCGCTATGGCTGGGAGAACTAGGGAGGTGGGCAGAGAGGGTGCCTGGTGCCCCATGGGGCRATGTGGGGTCTGGTGTCCTGCCTGAGCAGATCCGGAGCAGCGGGTATGTATGGGCACAGGTGCCAGGGGCCTGCCCATCCGCCACCATGGCCCCTGCCTRTCCCCAGCCCTGTGTGATGACGAGGAGGATGAAGACTCGACCTCCAATGAGCAGCTTTCTCCGTGCAGCCAGAAACATAACTTTGCTGCCTCCCTTGGGCACTGGGGACATGGACCCACAGGGTCCTGGCRGCCATGGATAGTGACACGGGGGCCACCGAGGCAAGACTGAGCCTCACCCTCCCTGGGAGCATCCAGTGCAGATGTGAGAGGAGCAGCCCGGGCAGGGTGGTAGCCAGTGCCAGACAGTGTGGCACTGCTCATCTTGCTGTGCCCACTGCTGGGATCCGCGTGTGATGGCRCTCCCCTCTCCCAGCTTCCTCCTGACAGCCGTGGCCCTGCTCTCCAGCTACTCCATCCACCTGCTGCTGAAATCTTCAGGCATCGTGGGTGAGTGCTGGGGCTCCAGGTGGTGGGCTTGTGCCACCTTGGTCCCTTCCTAGCCCTAACTCCTCTGCTCCTCTGCTGCCTGTAGGGATCCGTGCGTATGAACAGCTCGGCTACCGAGCCTTTGGCACACCAGGAAAGCTGGCTGCAGCCATTGCCATAACGCTGCAAAACATTGGAGGTGAGAAGAGGGCAGGGCGGGAGCAGGGGAGGGCAGCAGGGGGGCACCTGCACACTGGGAGTGCTGAGGTGCGCAGGGTGCCCTCACTGCACCAGCGTGGCACGGTCTCGCTCTGCTCTGCAGCCATGTCCAGCTACCTGTACATCGTCAAATCCGAAGTGCCTCTCGTCATCCAGACATTCCTCAACCTGGAGGAGAAGACCACGTGAGTGTCTCCTGCCTGTCCCGTATCCTGCCCTGGCTATGTCCTCCATCCTGAGCATAACGCTAGCTTCATATGCTAGCCTGGGCACCGCCCCAAATTTCATACCCGTGGAAACGCTGGGCACCTGCCTGGCAGTGTCATGAGGATGTTGGCCCCAGCCCTGTGCATTGGCCACAGATAGAAGGAAAGAAATGGGTTGTGGTCAAGCCCAGCCTCTGCCCCTCGTGCTCTCAGGATGCCAAGTCCTGGGTAAATTTGGCTAGAGCTCAAGTGTTAGCAGAAGTGTCATCCAGGTCTCTTGGGATGGTGTGGGAGCTGGCAAAGGCCAGTGACCCTGATGAGCAGGGCCAGGAGGCACAAGAGGCTCTGTCCTCAGTTCCGTGCCACTCAGTCTCCGAATCTCAGCCTCCTTCCACCACTCCATGGGGTGCTCTTCCCAGCCCAGTGCATCTGGGCCATGTCCCCTCACACCAGCAGGCGCTGTGGATTTGTATACAGCTGGGCAGCCCATGACAGGGATTTAGTAGCATTAAGCCATTACTATTTTTGATAACTGTCAATGCTGAATAAGCCCCCAGGCAGGATTAAACTGAAGTGAACTTCCAATCCCTGCTCCTCACTTCCCCTTGGGATAAACCTTTCCTCCTTGAGCAAAAGCTATTGCTTGTCCACCTAGCTCTGGTGCGACCATCTGCCAGATGTGCGAAGGGGGGCAGGGAGCTCACTCTGGAGAGCTTATTCTRGTCCCTGAGGCTCATGGGGCTCCCCTGCACCATGTGKGGACATTCCATGTGCCCCCATCCCCCTGGGCAAGTGAGGCTGTCAACAGCCATCTCCTCTGCTGCCAGGGACTGGTACATGAACGGGAACTACCTGGTGATCCTGGTTTCCATCACCGTCATCCTGCCCCTGGCCCTCATGAAGCAGCTGGGTAAGTCCGGGTGCGAAGGGACTTGGGGCACAGAGCTCCCGCGGGTGCCGAGGGCGGCCGAGCCCAGCACCAYGTGCTCCCGCTCCTGCAGAGCGGCGCCTGTGCCCAGGGTGCCGGTGGCCACCGCGGCAGGAAGCAACGGGCACGGCAGCGGGGGTGCAGGAGGGCTCCTGGGCAGCTCTGCATCCCTGCCCGTGCCCACCAGAGCTCTCCTCCCTCCACAGGCTACCTGGGCTATGCCAGCGGCTTCTCCCTCAGCTGCATGGTCTTCTTCCTCATCTCGGTGAGTGCAGGGCACGAGGCCCTGGACGTGCTGGGGTGTCGGGGCACAAAGCACCAATTCCCAGTGCCGGGCCAGGCATTCCCTGTGCCTGCGTGGGAGCTCCAGTGCCAGGGTGCCGGGATCCCAGCCTTGTCTGGAGCGGGCCCAAATCTCATGAGCAGCCCGTGGTCTGCTCACAAGGGCAGGGTGCGGGACAAGCCTCCTTGTGGGGGACCCACATCTAGGCAGCCCCAGGAGCAGAATGGGAGACAGTGGGCACCCCATGGAGGGCACTCACCAGGGAGCTGGAGGGGACACGAGCAGCACGGTGCAGTGCGACTGTGGCTGATCACCTCCCGCTCAGGAGGCTGTTGCTGGCGGGAGCATCGTGATGCACTTTCTCTTCCCCCCAGGTCATCTACAAGAAGTTTCAGGTGCCCTGTCCTCTCCTTGCACAAGACATGAACAGCACGGGCAGCCTCAACTACACGCTGGGCAGCACCACCCACCACCAGAAYGACTAYCCCGTCCTCCAGGCCCCTGAGAAGGGCACCTGCACCCCCAGCTTCTTCACCCTCAACTCCCAGGTAGGGCCGCATGCGAGGCCGAGGGCCAAGGTKGGCTGCACCTCCAGGTTTGTGGGAAAGCTCCCTGGCCCATAGCCAAGGTGGCCAGGGCCACCCAAGCCCTGTCCCTGTCAGTTCCCAGCACTCTGGGCACCCGTATGTGGTCCCAAGCTGCCTGCCTCTCTTGCAGACGGCGTACACCATCCCCATCATGGCCTTTGCCTTTGTGTGCCACCCCGAGGTCCTGCCCATCTACACGGAGCTGAAGAAGTGAGTGTCAGGGAGGAGGCCTGGGGTTGGGGGGCCTGTGGGCAGCGAGCAGGGCCTCGTCCTGCTCCCAGGAAAGGCAGCAGGCAGGTGCTCTGTTGCTTCCCAAGCAYGGGACATGCTCTGGGGTGCTCTGGCGCCCAGGGGAGGTGGGTGATCTCGCGCAGATCTGWCCTGCATCCCTGCAGCCAGCATCACCCCCTGGCCAGGCTGCCTCAGCCTCGCTGAGCTGCCCCAGCTGCTCGGCATGCAGCTCGGCCCTCGCCAAGCAGGCGCCCAGCGCTTTGTCCAACACGTGTCCCTGAGGAGTACAACAGGTCTGTGAAGTACTAACGCCACTGGCCCCCACAGCCCCTCGAAGAAGAAGATGCAGTGCATTTCCAACATCTCCATTATGGTCATGTACCTCATGTACTTCCTGGCTGCCCTCTTTGGCTACCTCACTTTCTACGGTAAGCCCTGGGAGCAGTGCCGAGGACCCTCCTTGGCCCAAGGGATGTGCTGGGGACTCACCTGGGCAGCGCTGAGCGTGTGGCTCTGTGCGGGTGCCCACAGGCCGCGTGGAGTCRGAGCTGCTGCACACCTACAACAAGGTGGACCCCTTTGACGTGCTGATCCTGTGCGTGCGGGTGGCCGTGCTGACAGCCGTGACACTCACAGTTCCCATCGTGCTCTTCCCGGTGAGTGTCTCCTGGGAGCATTAGGCAGGATAACAGGCCAGCTCATGGCCACCTCCACGCCACTGTGGGGCCACAACACTCAGGAGGTCCTTTAAGATGGAACACCAAGGCAAGTGTCAGGGCTGGGGTGCCATGGGGCTTCCCCAGGCCAGCTCTGGGCAGGCTGCACAAGCAGCTACCCCCAGGATGCTTGGGGCTACCCTAAGAGGGCCTGTACTTGGCCCCAGGCGTCCAGGATGACTCGTGATGTTACTGTTCACATGCCCAGGTGCGCCGGGCTATTCAGCAGATGCTGTTCCAAGGCAAGGACTTCAGCTGGGTCCGTCACATCATCATTGCCGTGATCCTGCTGACCTTCATCAACCTGCTGGTCATCTTCGCCCCCTCCATCCTTGGCATTTTCGGCTTGATCGGTGAGGGGAAGTGCCCACCATGAGGGCAGCAGCAGATCCTGCCCATGCCCACAGCTCATTACCCTGCCAGGCGCATCCTGAAAACCCCATTGCAATGCCTGGGTCTGAGGGACCCTTTCCTGGGGGGTGACACAGAAAGGTGCTTGCAGCACCACTGGGCTCCACTCACTCTGTATCCTAGTGGCTTTGCTTCATCTCTGAAACTGGGGTCTCTGTGGACAACGCAATTGGTGATGGGTCCCCAGCCCAATGCCAACACAAAGYGGGAAGGAGGGTGCCAGGACAGGGTGTTCCYAGGTTCCCAGAAAGCTGTGCCAGATCCAAGGGGAGAGGACAGGACCTGGCCCAGCAACACAGGTGGCAGGACTCAGCCATGGGGCCGGGGTCTGCTGCCCCCTCTGTCCCTATCTGCTCCAGGTGCCACGTCCGCTCCCTGCCTCATCTTCATCTTCCCTGCCATCTTCTACATGCGCATCATGCCCAAGGACAAGGAGCCTCTGCGCTCCCCACCCAAGATCCTGGTGAGCTCTGGGCACCTGCCATCAAGATGTAGGGATGGGATGGGATGGCATGGGATGGCATGGCATGGCATGGGGTGTCCCCAGGGCTGAGCTGGGTGTGAGACCTGGCCCCTTGTRGACTGCCAGGCACCAAGGGCGGCTCCTAGGCCCCCTGTGCAGTGGTGGGGATGCTGGTGCCCAGTTGGTTCTCCTTGGACCCTTGTTGGGTCGGGGACACTGTCAAGCCTCCTGGGTTCCCATCCTGGCTCTACCACCAGCCTGGGCCCATCTGCTGGGATTGTCATGAGTCACAGCAGGGTGGATGATGGACACAGGCTTCCTGGCCTCCTGAGCAATGCAAATGCAGGGGGCTGTGACATCCTGGGCCGCTGCCAGCTCCTCGCTGACCCCSTCTCTCTGTCACCCACAGGCAGCCTGCTTCGCCCTCCTCGGGGTGCTCTTCATGATCATGAGCTTGAGCTTCATCATCATCGACTGGGCCACGGGCGGGGGCAAGAGCGGCGGCAGCCACTAGCTGTCCCTGGGGGCCCAGACCAAGCTGCCCCGCCGCACCGGTGCCCTGGGAAGCAGCAGCCCCAGGGCTGGCCCCCRACCCCACCGCTTGGACTGTACCACGACCCTCGCGCTGCCCACCGGGCACACGTAACGCCCTCCGCCCGCCCCGGCCCGACGGGGACGGGGTCCCGTGCGGCCCTGCACTCGTAGCGGCGGACAGAGCCCTGACCTGCGTGGGAGTCCCCGGGCTGTGCCAGGGAGGGGGGCGAGCCCCAGGCCGTGGGGGCAATGCTCTGCCTACACCTCCCACACGTCCCTGCCCGCTGGGCACCTCAGTTTCCCCATCTGGAAGACGGGGAGAATGTTTCCCTACCTCACCAGAGCTGGCCATGAGCTGGACCTCATCTCTGCACCCAGAGAGCAACCGGCCACTGGCAGCAGGCACTGCCAAGTGCGTGTGGCATGGGGGGACAAACGGGACCTCCCCAATGCCAAGGGGAACTCAGACAACAGGGATCTGCAGGGCTCATGTCTGGGCGAGCAGAACAACCCCAGGGGGACCTGGGCAAACAGCTGGGCTCCCTGRGGCACGGCAGCATCCTCTCTCCCTGATGCCCCATGGACAGTCAGCTCCCATTCGCCCTGTCCCTCAAGGGTACTCCGGTACCTCTGGGAAAGGCAGTGCTGCCACGGAGGCCGCGCAGGAGCAAGCACTGTTGTGGGACCAGTACGCTGCTACCGAAGTTGCCGGGCCAGGAGCCGTGTCCCTGGGCTCATCCCAACTGTCCCAGCACCCCCAAGGAGGGACACAAACTCGGGGCTGGCTCCAGGCCGGGCAAGGAGTGAGGGGCAGCTTTGGAGCCTCTCTCCTCCATGCCCATGGGTGGCCTGGAGCCCAGGAGCCAGGGTGATGGGCACACGCGTGCTCGGAGCCGAGCCAAGGGGATGCTGTGACCGAGCCTGTCCCCTGAGCCCTGCACTGCCCTTCCCTCCAGCCTTGCCATGGAACCTCCCCAGGCCGCGAGATACCCAGGGAACAGCTCCGTCTCCCTGCTGCCCTCCGCGCCGTTGTGCCGTCCTGCAGGCTGGCAGCGAGCCGGGGCTGGCCAGGGCAGGCTGCGTCCCAGCGAGGGGGTTCCGCAGCGCTGATGAGGCACTGGGGGCAGCGGGACTGGGGGCTCCGCACGCCGCTTTGGCAAATCGGAGACATATTTTTTTAAAAGAGGGGGGTGGAGGCTGCRATGCTTTTTATGAATCATGTACATAGGACTTGCTCTTTGGGGACGTGTCGCGGCGCTCGCGGTAGCTCTGTATAGTGTACATACCTGCTGGAGGTAGCAGGCAGTGGGGAGCCAGTCCCAGTGGTGGGGAGCCCGCCCGAGTGCCCCCGGCCAGCACTGCCCAGCGTTGGGGGCAGGTGCCACTTGTAAATTAAATGCGTGTACAAGAGCTGTGCTGGAGAGCAGTACGGCCACCGACACCTCCGGCAGTGACAATAAAGATAATGTGAAGCCTGAGCAGGTCCTGGGCACTGCTGGACCAGGAGAGGAACGAGGTCCGTATGTGCAGACACACGGTCCCCCTGGGAACAGTCACTGGTGAGAGACCGCAGACCTGGGAATGGGATGGGGTACCCAARAGCCCTACATGTCCCCCGCTGAATGTGTCCTGAACGGCCGCAGCCGCTCTGCCCTCTGCAGGCCCGCGCTGCGGGTTCACTGGCACCAAGCCCTCCTTGGGTGCCCGGGGCACCAGTTCAGCTTGTCCCGTTGGCTATCAGGCCCCAATTTGCACAGTACCCGCACCAGGGGGCTGCTGCCTTGCTGCCTGCAGACGGCCCTGCGCCCCGTCCTGATGCACAACTCGCCCTCCCGGCGCCAAGCCCTGTCTGTGGGAGCACTGGTCCCTTTGGAGGTGATGTGGCCCAAGGCTGTCCCAGTGGCCACCTCCTCACTGTGGATCCSCTTGCCCACTGCACCCAAAACACTGCCTTAGGCTCCCCTTCCCTCCCCTTCTCGCACCCACCACGTCCCGCAGTGCTGGCACAGGCTGTCCCCAACACCTCGTCCTTACCAATGGAGGGATATGGCCACACTGGCCTGCTCTGGGGCACCCCTGGACCCCAGCATGGCCCCGTTCACAGCACTCTGCAGTTCGACACCCTCAGGACCAGCCCCAGAGGCTGCAGGACAACCATGGGGATGCGGGCTCTGCCAGGTGCTCTTCCAGGTCCCTGGGGCTCTGCGTGGGCCAGCATGGCACCCAGCATGGCCCGGACGGTGCCGGGAGCCAGCCAGGCCCAGGGCAAGTGCATCTGGCACATGGCGTGGTCCAAAGCACCGATGTAACAGAGCACCCCGTAGGCCCACAATGGCAGAATGTACTGCGCTCCACRCATCTCCCATGGGCCCGGGTGTCCCAGGACTCCTTGTACCCGATGCATGGCATGCAGGGGGCCCAGCACCATCGATTTCCCTGTGAGACACAGCATGGTGCATGCCAGGACTCCCTGGGGCATGGCTGGGCCCAGGGCCTGCTGCTCCTCACCAGAGATGKGCTCAAAGCACAGCCGCACAGGGCACCCTAAGGCCTCGTGCAGACCTGGGCTCTGCACCCCCGGTGCCCAGCTGGGCCCCACGCACCCTCCCTCGGGGCTTGGCGCGCGGCACGGGGAGGCTCAGCACCCCAGGAACAGGGATGGCCCAATGCACAGCCCCAAGGGCGCCCAGCACGGCCTGCGCCTCTCCTGCTGCGTGACGGCCTGTGCAGYGCCCGCCCTGGCGGCAGCTCTGCCCGGAGTGATGCTGCCGCGCTGTGGCCGGGAGCAGAGGTGCGGGATGGAGCTGCAGGAGCAGTGCTGGCCATGCAGGTGCAGTGCTGGTCATGCAGGAGCAGTCCTGGCACTGCAGGTGCAGTGCTGGCTATGCAGGAGCAGTCCTGGTCCTGCAGGTGCAGTGCTGGCCATGCAGGAGCAGTCCTGGCACTGCAGGTGCAGTGCTGGCCATGCAGGAGCAGTCCTGGCACTGCAGGTGCAGTGCTGGCCATGCAGGTGCAGTCCTGGCCATGCAGGCGCAGTCCTGGCCATGCAGGAGCAGTCCTGGCACTGCAGGTGCAGTGCTGGCCATGCAGGCGCAGTCCTGGCCATGCAGGCACAGTCCTGGCCATGCTGGAGCAGGGCTGGCCCTGCTGGAGCAGTGCTGGCCATGTGGGAGCAGTCCTGGCCATGCAGCAGCAGTGCTGGCCATGCTGGTGCAGTCCTGGCCCTGCTGGAGCAGTCCTGGCTATGCGGGAGCAGTGCTGGCCATGCAGGAGCAGTCCTGACCAGCGTGGGGTCCTGCCTGTCCTCCCCGGTGCTCTCTGCTCTGTGCAGCTTCCTGAGCTCTGCCAGCGCCTTCTCCTTGTGCATCCCTTGAGCCCGCGCTGGAGCCCCTATGCAGGGGCTGCCAGGAGTCCCCCTCCTCCGGAGAGTGACCATGAGCATCCCTGCAGCCACAGCCTCCCTTTGGGGGACCCACATGGAAGCAGCCCCAAAAGCACATGCAGGCTGCTGGCCATGCAGGCGGCTCCTCCCGGTTTTATATCCTCTGCAGACTTGCAGGACCTCATAGCCTCATTAATTTAAAAAGCAAACCAGGACTTACCCCAGTTTGATAGCAACCCTACCCCTTCTCAGTAGGCTAAGCTGTTAATTCTCCAGTTACTTAATTCACTAGTTCCCTCATTTGATAATTGCTGACTAACTGCCATGTTTCTGAGCAATGGAGTTACCTTCTGGCTGGTCAGAGTGCTCATTCTTCCGCCTATGGCAAGATGTAGGCATCTACTGAATTGCGGTGGGAAGCACAAGAGCTTCAGCAATCCCACAGCTGGTGGCTTCCAAGGTGCTTGACTGAGCTGACACATTTACATCTTCCAGCTCGAAGCTCAGGTCTAAATCATCTCATTTGGTCATTTCAGTTCCCAGCTGAGCACTTGCTTAATTCCGATGAGTTTCACTCCTGTGAGGTGTGCTTCTGTGCAGCTGCTTGCCCAACACACCCCGGCATCACTGTGCAGCCCTGAGTGATGCCCAGGGATGACASTGGCCTCCCGCCTGTGTCTCTGTGGGCAGGCGGGCACCAGGCTCTCATAGTGAACATGCCATTGCTGAGGTGGTGCAGCATTGGGTGTGCCTGGTGGACAGCATGGAGCTCATGGTAGTTTGGGCRGCAGGGCCAAGGACTGTTCCCAGGACTGGGTCTCCTTTGGCACTGGGTCTCCAACCCCAAGGCACTGTCAGAACAAGAGTGGAAACCCAAGAGGCTTGGCACTGTCTTTTACCTAAGTGGGGAGCAAGGAGAACCCCCATGGGCTTTCTCCAGGCAAGCCAGGGAGGCCAGTATTCCCACTACGGCACAGGAACCATCACTGGTGCTTGGCACTGCATCAAGAACAGTCCCCAAGCGTCCAGGTCTCACGCCCAACCCAGTCCTGAGGATGCCATCCCATYCCAACCTTACATCTTGATGGCAAGTTCCCAGGGCTCACCAGGATCTTAAGTAGGTAGTGCAGAGGCTCCTTGTCCTTGGGCATGATGCGCATGTAGAAGATGGCRGGGAAGATGAAGATGAGGCASGGAGCGGACGTGGCACCTGGAGCAGATAGGGACAGAGGGGGCAGCAGACCCCGGCCCCATGGCTGAGTCCTGCCACCTGTGTTGCTGGGCCAGGTCCTGTCCTCTCCCCTTGGATCTGGCACAGCTTTCTGGGAACCTGGGAAMACCCTGTCCTGGTACCAGCCCCAGGCACCCTCCTCCTGCCTTGAACTGGTGATCAGCATGTATCCTGGCCCTACCTGGGAGTTGAGGGTGAAGAAGCTGGGGGTGCAGGTGCCCTTCTCAGGGGCYTGGAGGACGGGGTAGTCGTTCTGGTGGTGGGTGGTGCTGCCCAGCGTGTAGTTGAGGCTGCCCGTGCTGTTCATGTCTTGTGCAAGGAGAGGACAGGGCACCTGAAACTTCTTGTAGATGACCTGGGGGGAAGAGAAAGTGCATCACGATGCTCCCGCCAGCAACAGCCTCCTGAGCGGGAGGTGATCAGCCACAGTCGCACTGCACCGTGCTGCTCGTGTCCCCTCCAGCTCCCTGGTGAGTGCCCACCATGGGGTGCCCACTGTCTCCCATTCTGCTCCTGGGGCTGCCTAGATGTGGGTCCCCCACAAGGAGGCTTGTCCCGCACCCTGCCCTTGTGAGCAGACCACGGGCTGCTCATGAGATTTGGGCCCGCTCCAGACAAGGCTGGGATCCCGGCACCCTGGCACTGGAGCTCCCACGCAGGCACAGGGAATGCCTGGCCCGGCACTGGGAATTGGTGCTTTGTGCCCCGACACCCCAGCACGTCCAGGGCCTCGTGCCCTGCACTCACCGAGATGAGGAAGAAGACCATGCAGCTGAGGGAGAAGCCGCTGGCATAGCCCAGGTAGCCTGTGGAGGGAGGAGAGCTCTGGTGGGCACGGGCAGGGATGCAGAGCTGCCCAGGAGCCCTCCTGCACCCCCGCTGCCGTGCCCGTTGCTTCCTGCCGCGGTGGCCACCGGCACCCTGGGCACAGGCGCCGCTCTGCAGGAGCGGGAGCACGTGGTGCTGGGCTCGGCCGCCCTCGGCACCCGCGGGAGCTCTGTGCCCCAAGTCCCTTCGCACCCGGACTTACCCAGCTGCTTCATGAGGGCCAGGGGCAGGATGACGGTGATGGAAACCAGGATCACCAGGTAGTTCCCGTTCATGTACCAGTCCCTGGCAGCAGAGGAGATGGCTGTTGACAGCCTCACTTGCCCAGGGGGATGGGGGCACATGGAATGTCCCCACATGGTGCAGGGGAGCCCTGGGAGCTTTGGGGAGCAGAGGCTACCATCCCTAAGGACTAACTAGCCCAGGAAACGACGAATGGACACAATGTCCAGGACGGACGCACGGATGTGCTGGTCCGGGACCGGGACTGGGAGCACTGGGGGTGCGCTCGCGCCGCCGTTCGTGGCGGCGGGGCAGGAGCTCCGGGGGAGGGGCGGGGCTTGGCTGCGGGGGCGGGGCTTGGCTGCAGGGGCGGGGCTCCGCGCAGGCAGCAGGGAGTCATAGCCTGGGGTGATGTGCTGGGGATATGGACGGCGCTGGGCCCCCTGCATGCCGTGCATCGGGTACAAGGAGTCCTGGGACACCSGGGCCCATGGGAGATGCGTGGAGCGCAGTACATTCTGCCGTTGTGGGCCAAGGACCGGGCTGTGTCACATTGGTACTTTGGACCACGCTGTGTGCCAGGCGCGCTTGCTGGGCTGGCCCCCTGGCACCGTCCGGGCCATGCTGGGTGCCGTGCTGGCCCACGCAGAGCCCCAGGAAAGGTGTGCACATAGCAGAGCCCGCTTCCTCATGGATGTCCTGCAGCCTCAGGGGCTGGTCCTGCGGGTGTCGAGCTGCAGAGTRCTGTGAACGGGGCCATGCTGGGGTCCAGGGGTCACAGAATCACAGAATGGTTAAGGTTGGAAAGGACCTCTAGAGCTCATCTAGTCCAAGCTTCCTGCTCCAGCAGGAACAGCCAGAGCACGGGACAGCCAGTTGCATCCAAGAAAGTTTTGAAGACCTCCAGAGAAGGAGACTCCACAACCTCCCTTCGCAGCCTGTTSCAGGGCTCTGTCACCCTCACAGTGAAGAAGTTCTTCCTCACGTGGAGAGGGAACTTCCTGTGTTTCAACTTGTATCCATTGCTCCTTGTCCTGTCACTGGCCATCACTGAGAAGAGCTTGGTCCCTTCCTCCCTATATTCTCCCCTCAGGTATGTGTTGATTTTTTAGTGATAAGCTCCCCTCTCCAGCTTCTCTTTTCCAGGCTAAACAGGCCCAACTCACTCAGTCTTTCCTCGTATGAGAGATGTTGCAGTCCATCATCTTTGTCGCTCTCCGCTGGACCCTTTGTAGAAGCTCCACATCCCTCTTCCACTTGGGAGCCCAGAACTGCACCCAGTGCTCCAGGTGCAGCCTCACCAGAGCTGAGCAGAGGGGCAGGATCCGCTCCCTTGACCTGCTGGCAACATCCTCCTGATGCAGCCAGGAGCCCATTGGCCCTCCTGGCCACAAGGGCACTGATGGCTCATGGTTAACTTGGCGTCAACGAGGACTCCCAGGTCCCTCTCTGCGGGACTGCTCTACAGAAGGTCAACCCCTAATCTGCATTGATGCCTGGGGTTATTCCTCCCCAGGTTCAGGACCCTGCACTTGTCTTTGTTGAACCTCATGAGAGCAGCCCATTGTGGCCATCCCCCTCCATCAGTACAGACGAAGTGTTGCAGACAGCCTGTGCCGGCATTGCAGGAGGTGCCAGCAGTGGGAGGGGGATCCTCGGTCAGGATCCACAGTGAGGCCACTGAGGTGGCCTTTGGCCACATCACCTCCAAAGGGACCAGTGCTCCCACAGACAGGGCCTGGCGCCGGRAGAGTGAGTTGTGCATCAGGACGGGGCGCAGGGCTGTCAGCAGGCAGCAAGGCAGCACCTCCCTCGTGCAGGTACTGTGCAAACTGGGGCCCGATAGGCAACGGGACAAGCTGGCCCGGTACCCCGGGGCAACCAAGGAAGGCTCAGTGCCAGTGAACCCGCAGCGCGGGCCTGCAGAGGGCAGAGCGGCTGCGGCCGGGGCCCGGGGGCCCGGGGGCCGGGCAGGGACCGGCAGAGCCCGCGGTTCAGGACCCATTCGGCGGGGGACACATAGGGCTCCCGGGCTCGGTGCTGGCCCAGCAGTCCGCAGGAGTCGGCGGTCAGTGCAGAGCTGAGGGAGGGAGGGAAGGGGCAGAGTCGCTGTGCGGTTTTGCCCTCACTTGGGATAACCACAGGGATTCGTCGGAGGGAAGAGGAGTGCGGGGCCCCGCGCAGCGCAGCGCAGAGCGCCGGCAGCCCGCGCGCACGGAGCTGCCGCCGCCGCGGCCATGGGCTGCACCGTGAGCGCCGAGGACAAGGCGGCCGCCGAGCGCTCCCGCATGATCGACAGGAACCTGCGCGAGGACGGCGAGAAGGCGGCGCGCGAGGTCAAGCTGCTGCTGCTCGGTGAGGCCGCCCCCGGTGCCGCGGCAGCTGCCGGCCCGGCCGGTCTCCGCCGCCGTCCTCTTGTGCGCGCCGGGGCGGGACGGGACGGGACGGGACGGCTGCCCAGGATGCCCCCGGCGCCGCTTCTGGCGGGACGCTGCTCACCGGGAACCTGGCGCCCGGTGCCGTCTCCGGTCCCGGTGCCGCTTCCCGCCGCCTCTCACCTCCCCGCGCCGCGGCTGCCCCCCCGGGCCGGGCGTTGCCGCCGTGGGGCGGCCCGCAGAGCCCTGCTCGCCCGCGGGCGCCGGGGCGGCTCCTTGCCCTTTCCGGGGTTCCTGCTGCCTTTGAGCATCCCCGGATGGCAGGTCCCGCGTGGGGCGCGCGTGCAGCTGTGGGGTGTCCCGTTCAGCCCCCGCGGGCCAGCGGCGTGGCCGCCATCGCCCATCCGTGGAGGAAGCTGCGAGCAGCAGGAAGCGGCGGCGCGACACAGCGGCACTGGCGGCGGCCTTGGCGCGGGTCACGCCGTTAGCGGGGTGCCTGGCCCGGGAGCGCACCCCACGCCGCGCCGTGAGCCTTGGCACCATGGCGAGCAGGAGCCCGCCGTGCCCGCAGCATCCTCGCGCGCTCTGCCAAGGAGCCCTGCCCCACGGCCTTGGCTTGGCTGCGGCCGGCCGTGCAGCCCGCTTGTGCAACGGGCCTGTGAGGAACTCAGGGGCTCCTGGAGACGGCTGTTTCCGGGGAGGGGAAGGAGCCAGTAGAGCAGCAGCAACAACAACAAAGTGTTGGCTTTCTTTTCTCTTCTTTTTTCTTTTTTTTTTTTTTTTTTTTTGGATGACTCTTAAGTAAACATGGGGGTACCTTTGGGTATATAACAGTGAAGGGTCAGGTGACAGTGGCACTTGTAGGTGCTCAAGAAAAACAGCTCGTGGTATGGATTTCTCCTAGGTATCTATGTGTATTTGGGGGTCTCTATCTGTATTTATGAGTTTTGCGTCCCTTCGCTGGCGTATTCGCCAGACTGAGTGTCCTTGCCTGCAGMTTTGCCACCACGGGGATGAGTCCTCAGGATCGATAAGGCAGAAAGCGGCARTTTTGGCCTTAAAGGCCTAAAACCCGCCCGCTATGCCAGCGCCTGGCACCACGCTGCTGTGTTTACARACGGCTTTGTGTTTCGCAGACTTGCTCGCCTGTCTGGCCCTGGGGTCCTCTCATCGCATCGTGAGAGGCTGGTGCGTGTTTTCGATCCGCTCCCCAGATACGCAGTGGGGTGGCCAGCTCATCAGCTTCATCACCATGAACTTTTAGGTGTTGAATTCCCTCATCTGCAGCCTCCTGCTCTAGGATGGAGCTCTGGTCAGTATGGGAAGGTGCCATCACTAGTTGCAAAAGGCGTTGGCTTTTGAAAGCCAAAAATATGTGATTGAGCTGCTTCACTCTATAAATATATATATATATATGTTATTTTCCCTAGCAGCTGTTCAAGTGTAAGTAGTGCTGAAGTCCTGGGTCAGTAGTGCCTCTTTCTAGGAGAAGCTGAGCCTTGAAAAATGCTCAGGAAGGGAGGAGGAGCGGCTACTCGCAGCCCCACRGCTGCCCCACAGCGGGAGCTCCCCTCTTGCCCAGCGCCCTTGCCTGAAAGCGAGTGCGGAGCCAGGCTGGAATGAGCGGGGAAGGCGGCGAGAGTCCCCGCGCCGCTGCTCGTGCTCCTGGAGATGCTCTGTGACGTGAGGCCGGCTGCTTGGGCCCCAGTGCCGTCTCTGTGCCCTGAGAGTGCGAGAGATCCCGCGATGGGGGATCGCAGTGGTTAGTGGCTTGCAAGGGAAAATGGAGGCTCTGAACCCAGAGTTCGTGGGATTTCATACATCTTTTCCTCCCCTCCCCCTTGCTTTTTCTTTTCTCCCAGCGTGGAGAAACCCTGCGTTGAGGATGTCTCTTGCTCTGCCAGCCTGAAGTGAGCCAGGGCTTTGTGAGCCCCGGAAGGTTTCCTCRGCACCGTTATCTGCCTTGGAGCAGGCAGCTGCAGCCTGGGGAGAACCGAGGCCTTGTACGAGCTTGAGTGAACGTTTCTTTTCCCCCCCACAGCGAACACGGTGGCTTTTGTGCGCTCAGGCTGTGGGCCGGGCTGAGGTCGCAGCCGCCGTGCTGGCAAATCAAAGTGCTTGGCTGGCGGCTCAGGGGCCGCGTGCCCGCGCTGGCTGCTCGGCATCGCCACACACCCGGGAGGCACTGAAATCAGGGCAGAAATCGCCCCTCTCCCTTCGCATGGCCCCCCTCCGAGGTGAGCAGAAGCCGCCTGTTTGGTTGGCTCTTCCCCGACTCACCGCTCGCCTGCYGATGGCCTTTGTGAGTCGCAGCTCGTGAGATTTCCATAGCTTAGTCTGCTGGGCCATAAAGGCCCGAGCCTATGTCCTGGCAGCAGAGCCTCTCTTTGGTCAACGTCCAGCTTTGCCCGTGGGGATGGCACCTTTTACCTCCAGCTGTGCACGAACCTCACTTGATTCACTTGGCTGCAGCAGGAGGAGCCAGGGTGAAGATCCCCTCCTCCAGCACCAGGTGCTTATTGCAAGCCCAGGAGTGCCTGAGGTCCCCCCGCGCCGAGGTCTCTGCAGACATGGAGAAGAATGACTTCGTTTGATAGAGAAATTAAAGGCTGTCTTTATTTAGGGTGCTGAGGCTTAAGCATGCTTTCAATAGCAGAGCAAGCGGAGCAACGTGCCCGGTTTTGTCAGGGAGGATGCTGTGTTTCCTCCCTGTCTCTTCACAGTCAGAGAGTAAGGGTATCGCTGAGAGGGGCTTTGCTTAAGGAGCCTTTTAGCAGCCCTGCAGGACTGTGGGCAGAGCGGAGCAAGGCGGCCCAGGAGCATCTGTCCCCGCGGAACTGCTGCAGCCCGGGGACGAGCTGCAGCCATGCGGCTGCTGTGGTGGCAGCAGGGCAGGGCAGGGCTGCGGTGCTCCTTCTGATGAGCTCCAGCCCACGGCCAACCCTGCCTTTCCTAGAGGATGTTCTCATTTCTCCTGCCCTTGCACAGCAGCCCTTGGCTTGGTCACGGGTCTCGCTGCAAGGCGACTTCCCGCGTGTCCTTCCCCACACCTGCTGAGCGTGATGGGGGCGGCTGTTGTGCTGCCCTGCAGCCTGCGAGCAAACAACAGCTCTGTGGGGCAAACAACAGCTCCGTGGTCCGCACGGGACCATGGAGCAGAGCCCCCACGGCAGAAAGGGTGAGTGTGGTGCACCTGGCACCTGCACACACAAACAAATGTCTCTGCCACGGTGGCCATCGGGCAGCAGCAGGGATGATTTGGTTGTTGTTCTGCACTTTGGCCTGTGTTTAAAGCCTCCAGTTCATCGTCTTCCTACTTTAGATTAAAAAAAAAAAAAAAGGGGGGGGAGAAGGATCTTGATCGTCAGCCCCTCCACCACCATCATTATCATCCCGTCTGTGATGCGAGGTGGATGGGAGACACCAGGAGCGGGTTGCGTGTTTGCGCTGGGGTTTGTTTTTCTCTCTCGTGGCCGTAAGGCATGGAGGCAGCTGACCTCTGGAAACCCTCCCCGCCGCCCTTGCGAGCGCCTTGCTGGCAGGGAAGCCAGCGCTACAGGGGCGGCTTCTGCTTGCATAAAAATAGAGGAAGGGAGGGCCCAGCTGTGACTTTCGGAGGCTTCGTTTCCGAGCGCTCGAGCGAGCCGCCTCTTGCGTGCGGGTGTGCGGCACTCGGCCTCCTGCTTTCATTTTTTTTTGTTCTTTTTTGTTTTTTTTTTTAGTTTCTCTCTACTTCCCTTTGTTGCTCCCCTCCCCTCAGCCTTGCTCTGCCTAATCCGCCTTCCGCCTCCTGGGGCTCCGAGCCGGCCTTCCCTGATTAAATTGCAGGCACCCAAATCTCTCCTCAAAAACCATCCCGAAATCCTTGTACTGCCCCGGCCCTGGCACGTGGTTCCAAGCTGCCCAGCTTCTCCTTGCTCTTCAGCAGCGCGTGCCGAAGGCTTCAGGACAGAGCTGGAGGAGCATCTAGGGAGGCCTTGGCGGGGAGGAAGGAGCTGAGAGCCAGGGCGCCCTTGCTGCATTCGCTGGTCTCTGCGTTCGCTGGGGCAGCTCGCCACAGCAAAGACGCTCCCTGTGTCTGGTGTGGATCTCACCCTGCTGTCTCGCTGCCCTGGATGCCTGTGGGGAGGTGGGGCCGAGAGGAGGGTGCCTTGGGGCTGGCGAAACCCTCCTGTCCCGGTTCTCCGGGTGTCGGGAAGCAGCCGCAGCGGCTCCTGTCCTGCATCCCTAGGGCTTGGAAAGTGGCCACGGCGGCAGCGACTGCTGTCCCGGTTCTCCGGGCATTGGGAAGTGGCCGCGGCGGCAGTGGCTCCTGTCCTGGTTCCCCGGGGCTCGGGAAGCGGCCACGGCGGCAGCGGCTCTGCGTGCACCTCTGGCCGGCGTTTCCTCTGCGTAGGCCCCGGGTTTCCTGCACCGAGCTGCCTTGGAGCTCGCGTTTCCGGTCTGCACGCCAGCTGAATCACCGGCCCCAAGCGGAGCTGACTAATCCTCCACCGCGGCAAGCTGGAGGCTGTCTCTTCTTGGAGAAAACCGTGCGTGCAGGGCACGTTTGCAGCGGCGGCACGGTGCCGGGCTCCCCCGGGCCCCGGGGAGAGCTCAGACGAGAAGCTCTTTTTTCAGTCCCTGGGAAAGTTGCTGTCTGAGCCCTGCTGGGGCGGCTGGGAAGGTGACGTTGAAGCCCAGGCTGTGGCAGAACCTCTGGGAGTGGCAGCCAGGCCCCAGGGATGCTGCGGCGCAGAGCAGTCGTTCCTTTCCCCGGAGAGGGGATGACCTGCTGCCCGGGCTGCTCTTCCCCTGCACCCCTGTGATGCTTCCAAGGGCTGGGAGCCTCCGCAGCTTCCTGCTGCAGCCCAGTTCCTGAGCGGGAGCTGCCCTGTGGCAGTGAATGGGACCTCGCAGCCCATAGGCTGAGCCAGGATTAGCCCAATCACCTGAGTTTGCTTCGCGGGGCGCTAGGGAAAGCGGTAGCAGCTCAGCCAG